GGGGGGGAGGGGGGAGAGAGACGCTGGCTGGCTGTGAACATTTGGCCAAACCAAAACGTTTTTTGCGGGAGAGTGCGGCCTGCAGCACTTCCTTTTTGGGGAGATGGGGGATGGGGTGGTGGCGGGGCATGGGCAGGAAGAGACCGGCTGGGATTGAGGGGTGGAAGGAGGACACAGGCTTTGATTTGGCTTGGATAGTGGGAGACATCAGTGTTTTACCGCAACAGATGCGTACGATGTGCCAGGAGGGGTGAAGAGGGGTGAGGTGGGGTGGCATGGGGATGGGGGACGGGGATGGTGAAGTGGAGCAGGGAGGCAGATCATGTCAGCAGAGCATACTTGTCCTTGTTCTGGATGGCAAAGACAAAGAACGAGATGATCTCGTACTCCTCCACCGGCATCGACTGAAAGTGGGTAGTGACGGCGTCGACAAGATCAGCCTTGGTGGCGTTAGGCGCCGTCCGCAGCTTGTAGTGCCGCTTGTACCGCTTGAGTGCGCCGATGTCCCACTTTGCAAAGTCGACAAAGGTCGTCCTGGCCACCTGTAGAGTTCCCACGTCAGTGAGGGAGCAAGCAAACGACCACAGAGAGCGAGCGAGATAGAGAGACCGAGAGAGAGCCCAGGATCACATCCGAAACGGATACCGATGTCCATGACGACGGGCGCCAACCGCGTGTCGAGTGGCCAGCCAGCCGAGATCCGCCACCCGCCGAGCCCCGACACCCACAACCGCAGCCATGCCCGATGCCCCGGGTAACAAGCGCAAGGAGTGAGTACTGCCACAGAGATGACCCTCTCCCCCCCCCCCTCCCTTCCTCCCCCCTCCCCTCCCAGCTGGCTACCTACCGTCTTCTTTGCCACCACAGGAGCCGCCACCGGAGCAGCAGCTCCTGCCTCGGCCGTCTTCCCTGCACCAGCACCGGCAGCACTAGCTGTGCTACTCGCACTGGTCGTCGTCGCCGAGCTCGCTGCGCTGGCGTTGCTTGTGGCTGTAGCCGCCGCCACGGGCGCTGCGCCCGAGTTCTGTGCTGTGGACATGGAGAGTGTGGAGGGGATAGGGATGGGAATAGCGGAGCGGTGGTGGTGGTGGTGGTGGTGGTGGTGGTTAATGGGGTGGAAGAGGGAGTGCAGGAGTGGAGGAGAGTGTGGTGGTGCTGGTGCTGGTGCTGGTGCTGGTGCTGGTGCTGGTGGCAGTGGTGCTGGTCGGGCCGTGGCTGAGCTCGTATACCCCATTTGCCTTCAATTTCGCTCATTGTCGCTGCGCCTCCCGCATTGGTCGCTGGGGCTCCCGGCCTCACGAGGGGGGGGGGGGGGGGGAAGGCCAGCTGATGGCCAGCTGATGGCCAGCTGATGGCCAGCTGACGTGAAGGCTTGGTTGTTTGACGGATGGGTGGTGTGGTTCCTTGGTTGATGTGGCGGTATGGCGTGCATACGCTCCATCCAAGGCCAGAGTCGGCCGCGGTGGCCATGCTGCGGTAGAGTGCCGGTTGGCGGGCGAGGTGCTCAGCTCGTTGGAGGACGGTGGTGGGGGTGGGGGTGGGGGTGCTGGTCGAGCACACTCGAGTCGAAAGAGTGGGAAGGCGCAGAGAGGGTGATGGCGGAGCGAGAGGAGGAGGAGGCTCTGGTCCGTGAGCATGCGGCACGGGTCATCACCAGGACTGTGCGGGCATGGTGGTCGCGGGCAGTGTTTGCGGCGCTGAAGAAGGTGCTGGCGGTGACACGGAAAGCCATGGCGCTGGATCTGCTGGCCAAGCTGGTCCCAGGCGAGGCTGCCCTGCTGGACGATCCGGTCTTTGCGCCTGTAGTCCGCTTCCGGCTCGCCGGACCGGCCTTTCCGCCGGCCATCGTGTTCAAGGTCTTTGTCTCGCCGCCGTACGCTGCTGGCCCGGCCGTCTCCACGCCGGTGTACATGTCCGGCCGGACGGTGCTTGCCGGGCAGCTGCCACCGGCGGAGCTTGTCCCACGCCGGGTGGCGGTGGCCACCTTCCTGGAGGATGCTGCTCTGGAGGCGCGCGATCCGATGTATGCACCGTTTACTCGCGCTGCCCGCGCCGAGCTCCCGACCCGGTTGCGGGTCAGGGCGGCCGCCCGCGAGCAGGCGCTGCCGGCGCGGATGGGCGGCGCAGCAAACGGATGGCGGCAGCTTGCTGGAAGCGTGGTTGCACCGGACGCGCCTGTTCGGGCGCAG